AAAATAGTTTAACAATAAGTAAATATTTTAATGTTCAGAATAAACAATACTATTTTATTTCTTGTTATTATATATGAACAAAATCAGACTAAAACACAATGTGTTTCAAGTGAAATTGAGTTTTACATAATAGAAATTTAATGAATTTTACAGTTCAATAATTATGAAAGTGGTGTAAGTCCATTTATGGTCCAGAAAGAATATATTAGTTTAGTTAAATTCACATAGAAGTCTTTATGCAATCAACTTACATATTTCTAAAGTCATAAAAACATTGTCAAACTTAGTACACTTTATTTATATTTTTGAATCAAGTAAAATGCAAATGTTTAAATATCTCGAAAAAAGAAAAAATGGACTTACACCACTTTCAAAATAAACGATCCATATGAATGTTCAAAATTAATAAATATAAATTTAATTGAAAGCATTCAATGCCTTCTAAAAATAAAAAATATTCCATTCTTTAATATTTTAAGTAAATTTATTTTCATTTTATTGCTAAAAGTAAATATTTATAATAATAAAAAAGTTCAGGTAAATTTTTCAGATAACAGCAAATAATTTTCCATTGTTGAATATAGAAGATTCTAAAAATTTATTTTAAAGTTCTTTAAAATATTTACTAAAATATAGTACAATGTATTATAAAGTAATATATTTTTGAATACTGCATTACTTTAACATTCTGTTTTATAAATGTGAAAAAAAATATTCTTACAGATTTAATAATTATAATTTCTTCCTGCCAAAATTGAAAAATTATTATTAATTAGTGACATTCAGTGCCATGCACATTATTTCTGTTACTAGAGGCCACTAATTTCATTGCAACATTTAAAGAATTTTATTAAACTAATATTTGTAATATCAAATATTTTAGAAATCAAATTAATCACAATCTTGTAGGTCCATTACAATAAGGTAGTAATATTTGAATGGGGGGAAAAAAACAAAAAATAGTTGTTTGTCACTTTTAAGAAATATTGCATTTTTAAATGCCACTGGAGATTATTGTGTGTGGGAAAATGTAAACATCAAATCCAATGCTGATTTAGAAGTGTCTAAAGAAGCAAAGTGTAAAGTGGAGATTTCAGACTCTGCTACACAAAAGACAGTAATGTATAATTTACTTTATTGTGAAATAAATACTGATTCTATTGACAAATTTGTCTTGAGTTTCTATTAAAAAAAATCAGTATGCATGTAGAAATTAAGATGCATTTGATAGTGTACTATATTCAACTAACTACAGTACAGTATATGTAATTCCCAATATTTATACTTTACAATTTTAATATGAAAAATTCTAAAATCAAAACTTATATTCAAAAAATGAAATGCAGAGAAAATATATTTGACCAAATACAGTAGAATCTGCTGATTTTACAATCACTTTGGGATTTGCCTGTACTGCTAACATTAACCAATGGTTAGTTACAGTACAGGCAAATCCCTAACTGATAACATTACATGGAAATTCTGATTTTTAATTTTTTATGTAATTAAACATTCTAAATTTAATTACGCAAACTTTTTAATATTTTATAATTGCTAAATATTTAAAATGATAAATTTTTAATGTTTACCTCAGCTCCAAGAGCAGGTGAAAAAGCTCTCATATCCCATAATTTGATGGTTTGATCTTTACTATTAGTAATAAGATAACGACCATCACCCTAAATAAGAATAAAATAAAAGTATTTTAATCTCATTTTTAACAATTACATTTGAAATGTAATTAAATTTTGAAACTTTCAAAATTAAACTGTTTGATTTTAATATAATAGCAAAAACAAAAAAACAAAAAAAAATCAATGTACCTTTGAATCTACATATGTAATTCCATCCAAATGACCAGCAAGTATACCAACAGGCTTTGGATGTGATTCATTCAAAGTTCTCCTATCCCAAACCTATAATTTTTTCATATATTTATCTATATTTAGTTAATTTTCAAAATAATTTTTCTAATTATAAAATATAATTACTTTGCATAAACCATCATCTCCTCCACTAAAAAGAATCTGAGATGTACTATCTGCAAATGCAACACTATTTACATCATCTTCATGCGACCGAATCTAGAAAAAATGTTTTAATTAAAAAAAAATCATTCACTTAAACTCCATTTAACATGTTCAAAAGCAATAGTATTTTTTGTCAGTCTGATAAATTCTTTTAAATATTAAAATAGTAATAAACACAAAAACGAAAAGTTAAATATTGAACTAAAAATTAAGTATATGTTTACAGAATATAGAAATAACAACAGTTAATTTAAATGTGATTAATATTTTATTTTTTATATCATCAATGATGAATTGACAATATGAAATTGATTGTACTTTTAATTGTCAAAAAGTCGTTATTAATCTGTGTTAATTTTAATAAATAAGTGGTCCTGTAAATACAATATACAGTGGTGCCTCATATAACATACTTAATCCGTTCCAGGTGCACGTCTGTTAAGTGAAAAGTCCGTTATACAACAGTCATTTTCCCATAGAAATACATGTTAAAACATACAATTCGTTCCGCAGCATAAAACAACCATACTGTACCATAAAAAAATGAAAATGGAGCAGTCACCAATTATGCCGGATAGTTAAGATGTTATGAGGAGGAGTTGGAGGAACACTTTCTTCACACATTCATACAGATACAGACTTTTTACACATTGCAGCAGGTCTCTTTTCATTTTTTTTAAATCAGAGTCAGATTCAGGAGAGGCTACCAGAGCTTGCAGGGTCAACTCCTCTTGTTCCATCCTTTGCTATTTGGCAGCTGGCTTCTTGAAAATCATGTCCAGGGTGGTCTGTTTCTCTCTCTTCTTCAACACCTGTCGGAAATGATGGGCAAGGGTGTCATTGTAGAGATCCTGTTGGCCTCAGCTCTGTTTGGATAATAAGTGTTGGTAAACTCCTTAACCTCTCCCCATTTGACAAGGAAGTTTTTGTCAACTTTCACTCCTTCTGATGATTTCTTGCTTTGTTTCAATTGAAATCACCTTTCTGTTTTTTTAGAAGCCATAATATGCACAACACTTGAATAAATGTAAATACCTACACTGAAGTGATGTACTGTAACGTAATAAACAAGGGAGCAAGCCAAATCCCAACGGGAGCTCTGTACTTCAGATATACTAATAATATATTCTAATAATACTAATATATTATAAAAATAGCAGATTGTCATTGGCAACAGCAAAAGAGTGGAAACATCATTCGCACTTATTCACAGAAAGTCAGTTGTTCGCCTCACATAACTGCCGAACGGAAAGTCTGTTGTTCACAGTGAGTCCGTTGCTCGAGTCACGTAATGGCCAAACAGAAAGTCTGTTGTTCGCAGCATCCGTTATTCAAGGCGTATGTTATAGGGGCACCACTGTATTTTAAAAAAAGGCATTTGAAAAACATCTCAATTGACTAGTGAATATTTTTTAATGAAAATATCTATCTTTACTTAAAGAAAGGTAATGAAGATAAAAATATATAAAATGATTTCCATAAACAGACAATATATATGCTATATATATATTGTATTAAATAATTTTTCTTTCAATCCCACTCAACTGGCTGACCTCTCAAAATTAAATATAAACATCTAGATTTCATTTAATTAGAAGAAACATCCTGAAAATACTGTATGATAAAATCTCTGTCATACATTATTATTATTTGTCTAAAATTTAAAAAATAATAAAAATATTTTAATAGTACAGTTGAACCTCGGTATACGACCTTAATCCGTTCCTGATATTTGGACTTATACTGTATAGGTTGTATACCAAACCAACCTTTCCCATAAGAAGTAATGTAAAAATGATTAATCCATTCTCGTGTAAAGAAAAAAAAAAATGTCTGGCTTTAAACTAGATAGTGCCTGCTTGATTTCCTGGCTAGTTCCTTCTTGATTTTTCACGAGATCATCATGTATCTTTTTAGCTTTCTCGTAAATAATTGCTTCTGATACACTGTCACCAGCACACTGTTTTTCAGTTATCCAAAGCAAAAACAATTTCTCAACATGATCTAATGTCTTCGAGCTCTGTTCAGAAATTGATTTAACCTCTTTCGCAACGTTAGCAGATTTAATAATGTTTTTATTTTTCATGATTGTCTATATCATCGTTCTCAGAATGTGATATGCAACAGTTAAAATCTCGAACACGCATGCCACCTTCATATTTCTCAACAATCTCTTTTTTCAATTCCATTGTGATTCTAGTCATTTTTTTTTTAGTTTTCTGTTGCTTCTCATTTGCCTTTTTGCAATTCATGATTAATAAAAATAATAAAATTTTACTTACAAACTAAAATCAGAAAAAATTTAACAGTTTAACAAAGTTATAAACTGTGGCACCATGAACGTCTAGTCTGGTCTAGTACACCAATAGTGCTACTTGTTCATAGATGGTACGTATAATTGAATTAAGTCGTATACCTAGCAAAATTTGTTTTGTCCAAACAGGACGTATTCTAAAGCAGATGTACACCAAGGTACCACTGTATATTTCAAAGAAAACAAACTTATAATAGTTTTTGATTTTTTTTTAAATATATAAATCTGTTATTTGAATTCTACAGATTGATTCTAAACAGTTTAAAAATTTATAAACATTAATAAACTGTGAATGTTTTTGAATAGAATTTCTACACTGTATTAAATCATTACAAATATAATTGAAGTTTGGAAAAACTAAATAAAGAAAATGACATTTATTATTATTAACTGAATAATTGAAATATTTGTTGATGATATCAGTGTGTAGTAAAGTTCTTATACATTCATGTAACTGATGAACGTACATAGCAACAGCTATGAATATGACATGTAGTTACAGTAAAGTAACTATATGCTACAAGATAAAACTGCTTGCGCCACCCATAGTGGTAAAATTCATTAGTTAGCATTCCTATCTTGAAAATGCACAATACAAAAAAAGTCTATTACAAAGTTGTAGAGCAAGACAAATTCAATTCAAAAGGACACCCTGAATACGTGAATAGTGTGAATAGAAAGTGAGAAACAGTGATTTGTTCATATTCAATTCCTGTCAATGTTGTGTCACAAAGCAACAAATTATGAGAAGTAGGGACAGAATAGGAGTGCTAACTTCCAAATTTTACCACTAGAGGTGCTGCAAGTGATCTTGTTTTGTAACCCAGTCACTTTACTATAACTACACATTATGTTCATAGCTGTAACCATCTGTGTTTGTCAGTTACTTGGGTATATAAGGACTTTATTGAGCATCTTGTATAGTATTTAATGGCCATAAAATTATGTATTATACAAATTGATTATTTATTAATTGAGAAAATTAACTATGCTGATTAATCATCAATTAAAACTAAATATATAAAAAGAAATCCTATTATTTATTGTCCCATTCAATTTTGAAATCAGAATAATTTTGAAAATAGCAACTCATTATTAAAACAATTGCAATTTTCATATTATAATCTAAAACAGTGTTCTTAACAGTGGGACCACGGCCTCCTGGGGGTCCATAAAAAGTTTGCTGGGGCCGCCAAATTATGCAAAATTTCCTTTAGAACATAATAAGAAGAAAATTGATGTATAACCAAATATCACAATTGAAAAGTGAAATAAGAAAGATAAAGTTTTCATATTTAGTTTATTTATTTATTTATTTCTTCCTACATACAACTTTGTTAGTACAGAAGAAATAAATGCAAATATGCTACTTACACTGCAGTATTTACTTCTTTTCTTCCAAAGTAATTCTAAGAAACTATTAATGCTTCGAATTTTAAAAATAATTAGGAAAAATAATAGGCTTATAGTAGGCTTTGAAAATTTAAATGCTTTTGCAAAACACATGCAAAATCTTTACGATAAATTGTGGGTGTTTTAGTTTTAGTTTAGTTTTAGATCAAATAGACTTTGGATCAAATAATAGTGCATTTCTTTCTTATGTTGTGTGCTTAGTTTTAATTATTTATAATTAACTCATAAAAATGAGCAAAAAACAGAAAGAAACATTAGAAAATTTTTTAATGCAAGTAATTGCAAACCAGGACCTTCAAAAAGAAAATATAGTGAAGAAAATACTAATGAAAATTCCAATGATGATACAGTGAAACATGCAACAGAAAAAACCAGAAGTCCTACACTGAAGGTATAAAATTAAGTAACATTAAAATTAGAAAATACAATTACGATTATATCAAGTATGGGTTAATAAAAAATCAATTTATTATAGATAATTTAACAAATATAAATTATTATTAAAAAACTGGGGTCACAAAAAAATTATGAAATATTTGGTGGGCCGTGAGTATAAAAAGGTTAAGAACCACTGATCTAAAACACCTATTCTTAGCTTATTTTTCAAATAAATTCATTTGTGAGTATATGATGAATTTAAAAATTTGATAATTTCTAGAATTTTTCAAAGCTGATTTATCACAGTAAACTTGGAGTTATTGGAGAAATTAGCTTAAAAGTAAAATTAAGATCACTTACTTTTAAAGTTCTTTGATTATGTTCTCTATCATATACATAAAGACATTCGTCATTTGCCCTAAATAATAATAATTGGTGAAATAAAACTTTCAGAATTTACAGAAAATGAAAACAATTTATGATATTGATGTCTATATTTACCCGCCTAAGATTTCTCTGCTATCATGTGAAAATCTAAGAGAAAATATACAGAATCGACGATCTTCTGGACAAAGGGGTAGTGCTTCATGCATTTCATGATCACCATATATGTTGCATATGTGTACTGAAATTATTGGAATAATTTGAAATTGTGATTTAATTATAAAGAAATAAATTTATAGATTAAATTAGTCATATTAATTTTTCATTACATATAAATTGCTACAAATAGTAATAACAGCAATTAGCATTAGTTAATTCTTGTTTTATATAAGAAGGCAAGAATTTTTATATAGAAACTGGTATGGATCATACTATTAACAAATTAAGTACCATGTGTGGCAGAAATGCAGCACACTATACATTGAAATGTGTGCTGTGTTACTTCAGAGCAACACGCTAGCCATATAATTGTAATTGATATTGTAAACACAAGTGCAATGTTTATATTTGTTGATACAGAATATTCAGCCAGCTGAAAAATACTACAATGATATAACTTGTAATAAGGTTTTACTAAGAAGAGTTCATCACACTTTCAAGAGTATTTTATGGTAAATGGAGGCATTTTCAGCAAAATGTTTAAAATAAAATTGGCTTATTTTTTCAAGTTTAATGCAAATCTTAATTGAAAAATAATATGTTCCATTTAAAAAGAAACTCAGCCTTCAACCCAAATAACCCAATTCTGGTCAATACAAAAATTGAAAATATCACAATTTGATAAAGTGTACCTAATTTATTTATCAAAATTTTTAGGATTTTTGTGAAACTTATTTCCCTTCATTTTAACAGGAGTGTACAGATAATCTGTATCACCCTGTATAATTAAATTTATGTATTAATAGACATTGTTTAGAAACTGACATTTTCTGTTTCAATTTGAGTTTTGTAATTTGTTTTAAGTTACTCAAAATAACTCATGTAACTGCATTGCCACAATAATTTGGAAGAGATATATCACCACTTCCAAAAAAAATTTTTTTTTTAATTTTCTTATAATTTAAATTAAGTAATCACAAAATCTGACATGCTAAAAATGTTAAAACTGGCTGCAATTAATATTTGTTAACAACTTCAATATTTACCAATATACACCTAAAACAAAATATTTATTACAAATGACTACTGAGAATCATCCATATCCGTGTAAAAGTTTGCCCCAACTTTTAGTAAAATATCACTAAATAGTGAGGTTGAGACCGAAGTTTTCAATGTAAAAACGTGTACGTCAGATGTTCAGCACCACTTTCCTGTAAGCCTAGAAGTTTGACAATGGTGTTTGGCTAGTCAGTGGACTCATGCTCGACATTCCAAACGTCATTGTCAAACTTCTAGGCTTACAGGAAAGTGGCACTGAACATCCGACGTACACGTTTTCATGTTTAAAACTACAGCCTCAACCTTGCTAATATCTACTCATGACTAAACTACAGCATAGTATTGTCTGTGGTCACTAGCAAGATAAAACATAGATAATTCTAAACCACTTCAATTCTTTATACTTCATGTAATTTTTTTCACATTACTTCCCAGGTTAGTTTTTAAAACAATAACTGGTAATAGACTAGATCTAGATGGAAAAACTTGATTATTGTTTTTTTCTAACATAAAATTCTCTAAACAGTTAAATAACTTACTGACTTGATGTCATTAAATCACTTACTAATATCTGTCTGAAATTCCAACTGGATTCTGTTGAAGTAAACAATTTCACACCTTATTTCTCCAGCATTTATTAACTTCAGATGCTAACATTTTTGGACATATTTAACACACATCCTCAGGCAATCACATACTGAATCATGTATCAATGCAGTTCCATCTGGAGCCTCCTAGTTATAACACCACCTTGTAAAACAACCTTCATATATTGGAAAGATATACACATTGTTTGGGTATTATGGTATTTATGTTAGCTCTTAAAAATTTAGGTATTTTGACTATTTTATTTTACTAATGTTTTAGTCTGTTTTTTAATATTTGAATATGTAGCAGTATGTACAAAAGTGTGAAAGGTTTAAATTCTGTTAAATTCAAATTGATAGACAGTATTCTATTTTATATAATATTCTTGTCAAAATTTTTGTAATGTTCTACTGAGGACTGAAATGTTTTGTTTTGTTTGCTTTAAACTGAAACATATAGAATGTACATTCAATTTGTAATTCATTCTATGTGATTTAGTGTACAATTGACTGAGGATGGGCTTTAAATCATAAACATGTTAAAACATTACATATGAAATTAATAAATTGTTAGCAAAATAAATTATTATTTGAATGAAATTTCACAACTATTATTTCAAGAATTGTTTATTTGTAAAATGCTTTCAATCTTGAATTAGATCATATTCAGTATCCACATCCAAACTCATTTTAGAATATCAAAATGTTCAAAGAATGTAAGATAATTTAATATAGGGGAGACCGGGGCAACTTTGGCACGTTAAGAATAAGTTCAATTTTTTGTAACAAATACTGCTGTAAACTGGAAGAAAAGCATTGTTTATTGTCTACTAGAATGTTACCTTACTATAGAACTAGTTAAAATCAGTATGGAAATAAAAATAATCATAATAATAATAACTTTATAAAAAGATAGCAATTGCAGAGAAGATGCTCCTATACCAAGGGCAACCTTGGCAACAGTAATGGGGCAAGATAGGCAGGTATATAAATTTGTGTCATTAACAATGTATAAGTTACAATTCACTATTAAAACAAAAAAAGTACAAGTCCAAAAACCTATTTATTATTATTACAACGAAATGAAGTTCAAAGACAAATATAAATAAAAAAAATGCAAACAAAAATTAATTACAAAAAAAATCAAACAGATAATAAATGAAAACATCCTAAACCAATGTAAAAGCAATATAAAAGCATATTGTTTATTCTCTACACATATCACAAATAAACTGAACATACTCATTTTCTACATCTGTACAGTTCATATGAGCCCACGGTTTACATTTACAGCATAACCTCCTGAGTAATGCCACATTCTTCATTGCAATATATACAATAAGTATTTTTACTGTCATTTTCTGGTTTCTTAGGACTTTTCTGCCTCTTTCTTTTAGTTAACTTCGAATCCGGATTCTCTAAAACTGTTGCCGTTCTGCAAGTTCCAAATTTTTTATTTTTATCCTTGGCTTCTAATGTGGCTTTATGTTGCCGATCTTACCCCGCTAGTCATGATTTTGAAACATTAAGTAGAACCCTGAGAACAGGGTACCAAGCCATGATCTGGCCACGTGAATAAGTTGAAGTTACATCCTTCTAACAGGAAAAGTAACTTTTGTTATCAAGGAATTATAACAAAACATGCCAATTCTATATAAATGGAAGCAAAATATTATAAGAAATTAAACAAAACAGAAAACTTGCTTGATAATTCAACTATGCTTGTTGGAGAACAATACAAACACTACACTCAACAAGTCACCAATAAAACTCAACTGCCCAACCTATAACCAGAGTCTCTTTTTAATTTGTTTTTAAAAAAAATGCAATTGACAAACTTGCCCCATATGCTGAAGTTGCCACGGTCTCCCCTACTACCATTAATATCAATAGAAGTTAAAAATCCTAAACAAGCTCTTCTTTTTATTCAATTAATCTAAACTTTTTTAAGATGTTCCAGAAAATACATGCTGTTTATTACTACATTGCAGTTTTGGTACACTACATGCATCTGTTTTATTTAAGTTTAGAGTTATCCTTTATAGTTATAAAAAATTATTATAAAAAATTAATATAAAAATATAAACTTGCTGTAATAGTCTGGTGGAATCTTTTTACTCTCCTTTCTTAATAACATAGCTTTATCCCAATTTACATTAGCATTAGTTCAAATTTGTAAATGTTCTAAAATACTCTTTAATTCTTATATTTATAAATCTAAACATAGAGCATATCTAGTAGAAAGTCTTTGTATTCTCATTCAGACCTACAATGTAAACTCAAAGTTTACTTGTTTGTTCTGTAGTATGCTTAGCTCTCCTAATCATATTCATAACTGTGGGATCCCTTCTGGTAACAATGTGATATTGCATAAAATTTTACCTTTAATGATAATTCTTTTCTCCATTTATCTACCTCATTCACTTACTTTCATGTTTTTTATCCACCTTTCATTATGCTTTTTGGAATTCCATGTATTTTTGCAAGTTCAATCATTTTATTTATTTCTGTTTTACCTTTGGGAACATAAGATGAGTAAATGCTCTTCATATTAAACTCCTGAAAGCTGCTAATTTATATTTAATCTCATCTACTGATTTCCAATGTACTTGTAATGTAAAAGTGATTAATCAGGCAATTATACATAATTACTGGTTATTATGGATAATCACCAATGGTTTTGGTAAATGTGATAAATTTCTTTCATATGTTACAAATTAATCACATTTACTGGTGATTATGCATACTTGCTAGTTCATAGTGGTAAATATGATAACCATATTTAATTAATCAAATTTACTGAACATTATGCATAATCATCAGTCTAGAATGGTAAATTTGATAAATAATGCATTCTCATTGAGTAACTCTTGGCTAGGAAGTAACCAAACCCAGCACTGAATTGATGATTACGATTTGTGTAGCTCATGAAGAATAGCTCATATCATCACAGCATTAAGTGTAACCCTTATAATGCTATGTTTGGTTCATCCTTAAAGTTGGGCTGAAGCCATTATTCCTTCCTAATGATACTGTAGCAGATGTTTACACTGAAGAGGAGCTACAAGAAATAAATGAATCACTACATCAAAATAAATGTCAGTTAGAAGGGCCAAATAAAAATATTTCAGAAAAAGTATTGAAAACAAACAGCCATCACTCAACCAACCTCCTACGACTATCCCTGATTTGTCAATCAAAGTATAGTCTAGTGTGGAAGTGATCAGTCTTTCTACAATCAAGAAGAGAAAGGAAGAAGTTGAGAAGAAGCAAGTGAATACAAAGGCAGGTTTAGAAACTAAAAAGAAAATATCAGAGCTGAAGTTTGCTATGGTCAAAGTAGGAAATACTTTGGAGCTAAGAATACCAGATGTGAATAGAGCAAGAGGCTATATGTGGAATATATTGGCAATAATAATTGCTCCTAAAAATGAGTACTTGAGTACTATCACATGGAAGCAAAGGAGGGACATCTTACACAATTGTATATCAGAAACCAGTTTGTGCTGTGTGACAAACAATTTCTTATAGTAGCAAATGTACCAAATATCACTATTTCTCTTAGGAAGTGCATACGAAAAACATCAATTTCAGTTCAGGAGTAGCAAAAGGTGCTCATGTAAAGGAATGTGTAATTCAACCAAATGCAAATGAAAGAAAAATAAAAAAATTATCTAATTCAAAATGCCATGATAGTTTGTAATGTTTGAATAAGCAGTAAGAATTATTAGAGTTCTATATTTTTTCACAACAAATTTTTTGATATTTTTATACAAAATTCTAATATTAAGCCAAAGCATATTTGTCTTAGTTTCCTTATATTCATTAAATTGTTCTAATATTAATAAAACAAAAAAAAATGCATTTTTGATTCATTTTATTAAAATTTGTTTAAATCCATAGTTACTTTATTAAAGCAACTAAAGGTGAGAAATTTCATGGTATTAAATGTATGAACATTTTGTAAATTATGCAAAAATTGCTTTAAAAGTAATATATTCAGAGATATTTATCAAACTTACCAAATCTATTTGGGAATTACTTTTACTGATGACTTTACACTCACCAGTAAAAGTGAGAAATTTAATGAAGTTTATCAAACTTGCCAAGTTCATTGGTGATTATGCATATTGCTGATTAATCACTTTTACTGAGTTTTGGTACAAAAGAAAAGAACACTGGTGGTTTTCACATAAACTTATAACATACCAATTTTCTGGCTTGAAAATGGTAATGTCAAACAGTTCTGAAGTAATAGTTGCTATTATTTGAATGAATATATCAGGGTGCTGTGGATTTACTGAATTTGAAAAAGATGTTTACCAGCACATGATCAATACATTTTAAATATTAAAAAATTTAATATTTAAAATTGTATCGATCATTTAAGAAACTGTGATTTTGGAGATGGTTTATATAAATCATTGAAGATGGAAAGAGAAGACATCCTTAATTAAAATGTTTCACCAGACTAAAAGGATTTGGCTTTTTGATTAATGGTTTGATGTTGGCAATGATTAAACAGAAATTTTATAATTAAATAAAATATCAGTCACCAGTCACAGATATATCTAATAGAAATAAATTTAAAAACTCACGCCAATATTTGTATAACTTATGGATACAAATTCACTGAGTTCAGCGTTAATAACGTTCCTTTAGTATTAACACAAGCACTTTCAACGAGTGTATAATTGTCGTCTTCAGGTGAAAAAAACAAATTTTAACAAGACAACATGCAGGATGTTCCAAAGGAACAGAATATTTAAAATTCAAACAGGCGTCCGGAAATTCCGTTAAGAACATGCAAATAATTTTTGATATGTTCGAAACTTTATATTTTACGATGCTAGCGGCACATGCGTGGAAATGCTACCGCGTTGGCGATACGATGTTAAGCGCGTTCCGTTTTTTAGGCGCCGATATAAGGCAATCCACACCCCGGGTAGATCGAGGGTGGGAACATTGCATGCTTCTGAAGTAGCCATGAGAAGCGCTTCCCAGATAAACGCAAGCCTTCGATTGTTGCAGCATTTGATTATTTCCGTTCTGGGCCATAACGGGTTGTAGCCTTGCTCGAGAACTTTTTTAGCAAGTTCTGTAGAACATCTTCCTTTGGCTATGTCATCCTGATGCTCAGCAAGGCGGGAGGCGAGCATTCTTGTTGTTGCTCCTATGTATCTTGTAATATTTCCTGTTACCGGATTTTCTAGTTGTATCGTGTAAACCCGACTTTTCTAAAGTAGTTAGCCTGTCCCGATCGTTGCAGATACATCTGCGTAGATTTGGTAGGGGGTTATGGGTAGTATGAAATTATATCGCCAAAATATGCGGCTGATATGTATAGAGATTGGTCCAAGATACGGCAACGATGACTGGATCACAGATGCTTTTTCCTTTCTGCACAGCGTGGTTTATTAACGCTGAACTCAGTGAATTTGTATCCATAAGTTATCTAACAAAAAATATGTGTAGATATTTTTGATTATTATCTTTAGTGTTATGGTGTATAGATTGTAATAGCTTTACTATAAAACAGGGGTCGGCAATCTTTTTGTCAATAAGGGCTCCATATAAATTCAAAAGTTATTGGAGGCGCATGAAAAAACTTCAAAATATTAAATGTTTTATTTCAAGAAATATATGTAAATATACTTAAATTATAAATGCAAAACAAATAATGACAATACAAACATCCAAATCAGTGTGACACCTGACATTGCAAATCTTCTGCCAATTTGTTATAATATAGTGAGCGCACATAAAAATCTCACTGAGGGTGCCATGGCACCCGCAGGTGGTGTGTTGCTGACCCCAGCTGCTATTTAAAAATTATGTGATAAATCTATTTTTGGCAACAATAGTATGAACAACAAAGCAATAAAGTACATACTTAATTTTTAAAAAATTTTCATAAACAGACATTTTATATGAATATCTGTATATACCCATAACTATAAATGCTAACATTTACCATATCAAAATTTTACTTGTAAAGGCCCTAGATAATTTTAGTCATTTACAGTAATTAATTAACACATTCTGATTCCAATAAAAATATTTGTAATAAAATTTAACAAAACTCAAAAGATTAATTTGTCAAAATACTTACTACTCTCTGACCAACTGCAATATATGAAGTTTCTTCCATCTGGACTGATATAAACAGTTACATGTTAAAAAATGAAATAAATAATTATAAATAATTAATCAAAACATTTACATAAAAATAGCATGCTCCGATTTATGTGTATCACTTATACCACCCAGCTTCAACTATAACTGTATTCTTTCTACTGGAAAAAAGCTATAAAACTTTCTCCAACAGAAAATAGAATGAACATTTGCTTCACTAATGATGAACAACATAGAAAATGCAGATGAATATGGAACACTTGAATGTTTTAAAAAATATCTGAATACTTTTTTGGATGCTTCTTGTAACAAATATAAAATTCTTTGAGTTTAGATAGAAAAACAAAATTATTCATTTTCAAATATTATACAAACCCATAGAGATAAAAAAAAATCAGTTTATTTCTTTGTACTTTGAAAAATCTAAATGTTTGCCAAGCACAAAATTTCAAGATTAAGTCAAACTATCAAAATTGATTTAAAATTAATTGCTTTTTTTCATAAATTTATTACCCTAAAATTAATAGGTTTATCTTGAGCAACGGAAGACAATCAAAACAATTAATCTAAACCAAAACACGATTTTCTCCATTTTGGTTGCAAAAAGTTTTTTTTTTATTTCAAAAAGAATTCAAAAAACAAAATTTTTAGAAGCCACAGTCTAGTCAAACATAGCACATAATAAAGGTCAAGTTATAAACTCCGTAACGTAACTGTATCTGTAGCTGTAAGCATATCCGTATAGCGTGGTTATAAACTCCATATCGTATCCATATGGCCGTACTGTATTCCACAAGAAAAGCTTGGATCGATCAAACTTTTACGGTAGGGATACGGAGAATTGACCAACTGCACATGCGCCAAGTTGCCATCAGTCGACGTACAATCGGAAGTTGTGACGGAAGCAACCGACGAAGCTTTGACAAATTGATGGAAATGTAACTTTTGACCGACAATGCTGCTTCTGAATAATATAAAATTTTAAGATAAGAATTACTTTGGTCATAAAAAAAAAATAGAAAAATAATAAAATGAATAAATAATTATAGTGTTAGATCTAGCAATAACTACAGATGATTTTGCGCATGCTCACGATGAACTGCTTCGTAAACCGTAAAATAGTTTGTTACGGAAAAGGCCTTACGGTAGTTTATAACTGTTGCTATAGATATCTAGTGTAGCAAACATTTACGAATACGGATACGGTTACGTTACAGAGTTTATAACTCGACCCTAAAACTAATTATACAACTGACCAAAAATGTTTCCAATAACATCTAAAGATTTGAGAATAAAATAATTTTGAAAAACAGATCATTACTACTACATGAAAACTATCAAGTTCTTCTGTTTTTATTTTAATTAACATATTAATTAAACATAGCTAAACATTTTCTAGTTTTGATCAAAATAAATCTATTCAAGAAATGTTAAATGGAAGAAATGGATTTAAAAAGTTTCAGTATTTTTACTGATACTTTTTAAATCTATTTTCAACATTTTGAAGTAATAGTGTAGCAGATATAAATAAAAAAATAATCATATTCATTATTTGTACCACTCTAAATAAATATTAAAAATTCCAAATTTATCAATCAAGTTTTAAAAATAATAAGCATTTTAAAAATTATTATTAATTTTGAAATATTAATAATAATTTTTAGCACTAATACTTAAAATGTATTGACAAAAACACCATTAAAAGCTATTTTTATATATTGTAATTTTAATAAAATAAATTATTATTATTATTATATCTAAAGAATAAAAACTGAGAATAAGAAAATAAAATTGCTTTTTATACATTTTACTTGTTATTATTTAATGTAATGATTCAAAAAATCCTACAATATTTCATAATTTCAAATGTCTCCTGAATAATAAATCATTATCTAAATGTAAAAGTTTGAACTTATTACTTGATAGGGAAAAACTTTTCTAAACTGAATTTCTATATTCAGAAAATGAAAATAATAGAATATCTTGAACAGAACTTATAATATTATAATTACCTCACGGCTGTATCTAAAATACTCCAGCCAACGTCTCTGGCTTGAACTGTTTTAATTAATTTGAAATGACCACTTCTAGTGTCATACAATCGTATATTACAATCTAATAAAAATAAGATTTTTGAATTAAAAGTAAAAAACAATTTAAATAAAACATTTATCACTCAAATTAATTTTGAAATCTAACCTTGACATGCAGTCATGAAGAGTTCTCCATCTCTGGCATATGTTCCACAAAAAGCTTTACTTGGATATTGTTCAACAGGAATCATCTTATTAGGCAGCAATCTATTGACAAAAATAGTTTTGAAGCAGAGCAATAGTTCCTCAAATGGATTTCTTTACTCATGTATGTGATACACAGTATTGAATCCTTATGAACCAGATGTCACTTACATAATTTAACATGGAGTACTTTGAAATTATTCCTGAAAGTGAATTTTACTGCATGTTAACTAATTTTCCCATTTATTATTACACAAAATGGGATTAAGGTTAATTCTATACAAAAGCTTTTTTTGATTTGAATAAATTAATTAAAATTCTTGCATTTAAATCATTTTAAAACACTTTAATCCATCAACTTGCCAAATTACTTGGTTGAACAAAAAAGTCTCAATGGTTGCAAAAATTATCTGTTTGAGATATCAAAAATAAAGTTGACAAATAAATAAAGCAACTTCAACATACTTTTGTGTAAATAAAAATCATATAATGTAATTTAAAATGAACTTTAGAAAACAGACTACTTTGTTACAGTAGTAAGATTCTAAGATCTATGACTGACTGATTTCATAAAGTCAAATATTTTAAACTAAATATTTTTGGGCTATATAGATTACATTATTAGAATCTTAACATTTAAAATTTAACTCTTAAAAATATTTTTAAGAATGAAATTATAAAATGTATTACATTGGATAAAACTGACATTTTTTATTGTTAAATTAATTGGCTGATAACTATTTTAGTGATAATCTGAAATTTAAAAATAAAACATTTGTGAAATTGTTGTAATCTAAAATTCTAATGCTTGTAACTTTATTTCTATTTTCTCTGTTAAAAATTTACACACACAAATATATATTTATTGTCTACTTATTGTTATAAAAACAGATATAAAATATAAAAATGCTGCAGATTTTAATATAAAGTTGAACTTGGTTAAAATGTCATCACAGAGTCTGGCATTTTTGTCATCACATGGGATGCCATAATTTTAGTCTTATAAAAAAAAAAAAGTGCTAAGTTTGTTTAAGAAGGTATTATAAAATATATCATAAATAGTTTCACATGTATATATTAATGTATGTATAATAGCAAGAACTAAATATTTAAATAAACTTCATTTATATTAGATTCAGTTTATGTGAATTGATCCAAGTTTTGGTAATGGCAGAATTTCTGGTTTTGAGAACAAACTGTCAAAAACAAAAACAAATGACATTTGGTTAAAGTAATTTTAGATTGTAGGCATTTTTCATGTAAAAATTGATCATCAATATTATTTTCTACATCATACACTGTGTTCATTAAATCAGATGAAGTTTTCTGAGACCAATAACACATTTTTAAGTCTTATTACACTGTGTGCTACCTCAGTTGGCGGTACTACATGTTCAATGTCTGTTTTTTTCCCCTCTGTCTTCTTTATCCTCATTTATTTCATTTGAAGATGTGTAACAACAATGATAGCCACAACAATATCTACATCAGTGTAAGTTTTACATATTATTAAATCTCCATCTACAATTTCAAATTCAGTAGCAACAGATGACAAAAATTTGTTGTTTTCTGAACTTTCAAGTGTTTTAATAAATTCTGATAGAAGGCTATCATCATCACCATCTCCAGTGTCAATAGATGTAATAGCTGTTTGACTATTACACAATTTTTCATGGCAAAAACAGTTTGCTAATGTTAGAGAGCTAATGTTACGTTATTCTTTCTCCAAAAAATCTATTGCATGTAATAAAGAAATTACCATTTCATCATCACCTTTTGTAGAAGGATTTTTCTGTATTGGCATTTAAGGCTTCTTAAAATTCCTTAATCCATAGGCTGAAGAACACTAAATCAATGTTCAACACAAAAGAACACAAACTTAATGTTCTTCAAATTTTCTAAAATTGGATGTAATGGGCAATTAATTATCAATAATGAGTAAAACATTTGTCATTTTCCAATAAGTTCTCTGTCCCATCTTAAAATCTCTTCTTAAAAAATGTCATCCATGACTTTAGATTGGCTTTGTAATATAGTGGTAGTGTTTTCACATTTTTGAAACACCTTGGATCAATTTTCCTATTACAGAAAAGTTTTATTTTGTACCAGTCACATTAACATACATGAATGTGGTTATTCCATTTTTCTATGAGTTTTCCACCTATACACTCTTCATTTTTTCTAAAACTTATGTTATGTCTGTTTAAAATGGTCCAATTATCCACATAGTTATCACTGCATAGTAATCATCCAAATTCTTCTGCCTTTTGTATAAGTATTGGTCCATTTAGCAATAAGCTGGCACTTAGCATTTAATTAAATAGTTTAATCAATGCATATCAATACCTGTATTTTTCTACATCTTGATTTTTCATTTTTCCCTTTCTGTCTTGAAAACAATGAAAAACAGTGGCAAATTTTTAGTCATAGTCACTGTAGAATTTATTATGCCAAAGTCTAAGTACATTTTTTTTTTCTGCTATCAGTAGCTTCAATTATTGCTACTTTATGGTCTAACATTATAGCTTTTCTTTTTAAATTTGCCATTTTCCTGCATTAGCATCAAACTTAATGAATAACATTTCTGTTAAAGAATGTGAAAAGTGAAACAATTATATGTTAAGAAAACTTCAAAAATAATATTTAAAATGACATGAATTAAGATGTCAAAAACACAATAAATGAATAAATAGAAATAAAAAGTGGCACGTAATGGCTAGATTAACATCTAAACTATTAATTAACACAAGGATGAGAAAATCAACACACTTTTGTTCAATTTATGTATAACTAAACTTCCTACCAAGTTTTTATTAATTAAGCAGGGACTCCACATACATGAAATCATCAACATAAAACAAAAACGGCAAACTAGTTAACATTCAGTGTAATTTGTTTTTTGAGGTAGGATTCCACAAGTACATTGTCCATGTCTGTAAAACAGATAAGCTCTCTGGTGAAATTCTTGAATTTTTTAAATTAGAAGCATTGATATCATGATACTGTTTATCTTTATTTACACACAGTCATTAAATGCAATTATAAAATATTAGAGTTGACTGAAAGATGAAGACATCAATTTTGAGTCTGTAAAATATTTCGTAAACATAAAAGATTAGATTATATAAGCATTTAATTCAGGAGTTCAATTACATGATTGCCAATAATATTTTAATTTCATGAAAATAACTCTGAAATTTTTCAACATTTTATGATAAATAGAATCTGTAACAAGAAAAAAAGGATACAAATTAGAGAATAGCTATAACACATGATCTAATGACAATATTTTCATATTATTAAATAACGCTTCTAACCCACAACGTAAATTAAGATTAAATTGATTAGCCCAATTTATTATAGCTGTAATTAATTGGGCTAATCAATTTAATCTTAATATTTTCATAGCTCCTCATTGGTTGTTGTAAAACAGAAATATAATGTATGATGAAAAGTTAAAACTTGTTCAACTCTCTTCTGCTTTGGTTTCAGTCAATATTAACTGAAAATTTTTTTAAATTTCAGTTGTAACTTTTGGTTTTAACACTTATTTTATGCCAGCGGAGTTTTCTGGTTCAGTAAATTTTAATTTTGTTTAAATAATCAAAAATTTCATTCAGAACATTTCATGCTGATAAAAGCTTTTTCTTACAATTTTGAGCATCTCAATAAGCCATCATTTGAAACTATCTTCAAATACTGATGTTTCAACCTCCTTGAGGAATACAGTACAAATATTGTACTATAATATGAAAGTTTGATTACATGTATTATTTAGTCTTCGCATAAACATTTTGTTGATATCAATATATTAAAACAAAGAAAATGTAAAGGTAGTACTCAATGTCTAATTTTTCTCCGAACAATTTCTAATACTTAATACATATCTTTAGAATTCAATCATAATTTATGAAATAAAATTAATAGTATAAAAATTACTCAAAGACAATTGTTAAACTTTGTCATGATTTACCTGTATTTGAAATAAAAGTGAAATTAAAACTATAATCTTTTTTTTAAAAAGAAGCAGCAACTATATTTTTATTATTTAAAATGATATCACATTATAATAAAATATACAAAAAATTATAACAGATAATGAATTATTTGACTTAGAAAAATTTACTAAAGATAATTTATAATTTATAAAATCAAATCAATGAAAGTTCATTTCAGGTCATAACAGAAAATATTTTAACCAAATTAAATGGTAAACAAATTACCAAATGTCAACTATATATCAACTCATCATACTCATTTATTTTATTCAAATTTTATCAATTTTATCAATTTACATCATTTATGAAATTGATTAATATTTAAATTATTTATTTTTAATTCATATTACTTATTTCTCTTTCTCAATAATGTATAATAATTTTAAAACATTTACCTCTGACTAATTTGGCAACAGTCACCTCTTGTGAAATGCTCTCGAACCCCAACTTCCCTCTAAATTTGTATTTAAAAAAAATTTTTTATAATCATTTAGTTGTTGTAACTGACTTAACATTATTCATTCATACAAGATGCATACCTAAGTTTAAATTTATAAAAAAAGTTTTTGATTGATGTTAAATTGAATCATTTCTATCTTCAAAATTCACTCATTCATGATATATACAAATTTTGGCATGACCTAGTAATTTATTTAAGTCCTCATGAAAGGACCTTTTTCAAATATTGTTTAGTTCTCTCTGCATAGCCTTTTGGATTCCCAAAATTGGCTGAAATTGTCCCTTTCAAATCAAATTTTAATTTGGGTAACAGGAAGTGGTCAGTTTGGATTTGCCAGATTGTTGGAAACTGCTATTTCCCAAATTAAGATTTTGCTTTGAAAGAAAGACAATTTCGGTCAATTTTGAGAATCCGAAATTCTATAGAGGAAACTAAACAGCTTCCAAAAAGATACTTTCATGAGGACCTAAATAAATTACTAGATCATGCCAAAATTTATATATATCACAGAGGAGTGTATTTTGAAGACTGAAATTAAATCTAATAATTTCTGTCAAAAACTTTACTTTTATAAATTCAGTCCCCAAACTTAGTTGATGCATCTTGTATATCTAAGAAAACAAACTATTTTAATCTATTCTATCTGCTTAATTGTAAAAAGTTTTAAGATTAAATGACTGCTTTTAAAACTTTAATTCTTCTATTCTCATTTAGTTTTGTTTTCCTAGAAAATCTTCTAAAAAACAATACTAAATAACATCTTCTAATACAGTGGAATCCACTTATTAGAGCAGTTGTGGCTGACGTTTTCATTGTGAAAATGTGTATGTCGAACGTTCAGTGTCACCTTCCTGTAAGCCTAGAAGTTTGACAATGGCATTTGGAATGTCAGTGGAATCATGCTCAACATTCCAAATGCCATTGACAAACTTCTAGGCTTACAGGAAGGTGACGCTGAATGTCTGACATGCACATTTTCACGATAAAAACATTGGCGCAAACTCTCTATTATGATCACTTTGGGACTTGCAATTTTTGATAACAATAACTGACTGGTAACATTAAACAGAGGATAAGAAACTTTCATTATTGAATTCAATTCATTACAAACAATTACAGTATGATATTTGTACAATTTATATGCATATTTAATACAACATTAACTACAAACAGAATAAGTGGCTGCTTTTTTTTTTTTTTAATTATAGAATTCAAATATTGCCTGAAGAAGGTTGATTAAGAAGACTGAAAACATTAGAATAATAAATATTTACTGCATAGTAAATGGTTTTGTTTTGTGGTTACACATTTGTATATGCTACATTTCTTATTTACAACTGTTTTTGAAAACATAAAATTTATTTAAAAAACTTATCAAGTATTGTTTGTCATTTGTTTAGCTCTTGAATAGTATTGTAATAGTCAATATTTTGCAAACTTTGTTGCTCTATATTACACACCACAACAAAGAATTCACAGAGCTTTTTGTATCTGGGCGTTAGTTGGAGGAACTTTTGAAATTTCTTCTGTAAATAGGTTAGGTCCATTTTCTTCTGATAGTTTGGAGTTATCACCAACAACATCTTGACATACTTCTGATACTGTCATTTTAGCTGTCACTTCAACATTACTGTCTATATCAATCCAATTTTCAAATTTATTTTTAGACATACTACCTGGAATTCTTTTGCATCTTTGGAGTTCTTTGGATGCAGGAGTTTTAGCATTTATTTTAGAAAATCCATCTTTTTGGAAGCATCTTTTTAATGGTTTTCTTTGACACTTTCTTCCAAGACATTGCTAACGAATGCAATGTATCAAGAAGGGAAACTTTTTTTAGTACAATTGCACTTGCATCAGAATGATCTTTAATTTCATCAAGTTCAGCTATAATTTATTGGGTTGTTCGGAAAGTAAGTTCGTTTTTTTCCCATGAAAAAAACAATATTTTTATAATAAATAAATATTTTATTGAATTATATATTGACCATTTTGGTCAAATACCTGTTGTCATCGTTTCTGGTAGTAGTATGATTTCACATTCATAAAAGTTTTGATCGTTGCTTACAAAAAACTGATTCAAGTGATTTTTGACATTGTCATTTCAAGTAAATGTCTTAGAGTTAAAAAATTTTGTATAGACCGGAACAAGTAATAATCTGAGTGTGCTCGATCTGGCAAATATGGTTGGTGTGATAGCACATCCCATCTAAGTTATAACAGTTTCTGACGAGTTACCAAACTTGTGTGAAATTTGAAATTATCGTGGTAAAACACTACACCTATTTTGTCGATCAATTCTGGCCGCCTTTTCTGTTTGATGATATTACTCAATTTGTTTACTCGATGGCAGTATACTTTCGAATCAATTGTTAAATTGTCTGGTAAAAGCTCCAAAAACAAAATTTCCTTAAAATCCCACCAAAGAAAGCATTTCTCTTTCAGAACATGTGAAACCCATATATCAAGCTTTGAAACAAAACCAATTTGTTTCAAGTAATCATAAACAGTTCAATTTGACAAATTTAGTCTCTTAGTGATTTCACATGTTATTTAGCAGTTTGCTTCAATCAGTATGTTTATTTTGTTTTCATTGGTGTCAACTGGCCATCCAGAACATGATGCATCTTCAATATTGAAATTGCCAGAATGAAATTTTGTAAACCAGTTTTGGCACTGTCGTTCTGTCAATACATCTTCTCCATACATGTCACACAATTTTTTCTCGCTTCAAAAGCATTTTTACCTTTTCAGTAATAAAAGAGCAAAATATGCCGAAAATGCTGCTTTCGATCTTTCATATTTGATGGGACACAAAAAATAAACAATCACACAAAATCAAACAAAATTTTTTACAAATAAGCCTTAAAATGCTAGCTGTCAAAATATATAATGATAATACGGTTTAGAATGAAAATGGCAGAAAAATACAACTAATCTGTCTAGTGGTAAAAAAAAACGAAATTACTTTCTGAACAACCTAATAAGTATGAATTTGGCTGCAGTAATAAGCTTTTAAAGTTTATATGATATCTTGGTCACTTGGTTGAATTAACAATGTAATGTTCAAAGGTAAGAAAATCATTCTGATTTTTTTTAATGACAATTGTTGACGTGCATCAATGCAGTTGTCTACTAACAAGACAATTTTTTGTTTTAATTCACAATCTCAATTAACCAATTGTTAAATATGACATTTATCATCTCAGAATTTGCACTAGAAAATTAATCAACAGGCAAACTTTTGACACCTTTAAAATACCAAAAATTTTTACCTTTTCCAATCACCAGAAGTTCTTGCTTTTTAACTATCATATATAAATTAAGCCAAATTTCAGGCAACTCAAAGAGTGGGGAATTGCATGGGTCTACTAGGGTGGTGAAGAGACTCAATAAACAGAAGGCACCTTTCACCACAGCTCCTAAGTAAAATGGAGCAGTCCCAAAGTGGGGATGATAATAATAATAATAATAATAATAATAATAATAACTCTCCCGTGGTCACCACCTGGTCGTGGTGGGAGAGCCCAGTAATTTTACTGAACCATAGGGCAATGCAGGCTGGAGCACAAGCTCCTGGTAGGGACACCCATGCCAGTAAGGTCTATGGGGAGAAATGAAGCTAAGAGTGACCACACACCCACATTATGTGGAGATAATCATAATGGTAGTAACCAGATCAAAGTGTGATACCGGCTCGGACGTCGCCCGGGTTAACAAGGTCCGCGTTCGTGGGTTAGGCAGAGGCTCACGTTCGAAAAATAGGCT